CCCATAACTTGGTCTCTCTTCTACAGCATTCTCAGCCTCCTTTCCACATCCTCTTTTGTGCTGTGTATTCTCCTCTGAGACTTGCCGCCTTCCTCCCAGTCACGGAGCAGTAGCTATCCCTCCTAATTTCTGATGTCCTCTCGGCCTTTTCCCAGTTCACGGCCTTCCCATGCATGACCTTCTCTAACTTCTTTTTCTAGAAAAGCCTCAATGATCAGGAGGGACAGCCCTCCCACCCCTGCCATCTTTTTCTCCTCAACCTTCCTGAATATTGCAGCTTCTTCAGGCTCGGGGGCCGAGTTCTTAATTTGACTCTTCACCTGAATGGACTGTCTTCCTTCCCAGGTTCGGACAAAGGATCACCGCTTCGAGAGCGTCAGTCACCTCATCAGTTACCACATGGACAATCACTTGCCCATCATCTCTGCGGGCAGCGAACTGTGTCTACAGCAACCGGTGGAACGGAAATTGTGATCCGTCCCAGGTGCTTGCCGGAAGACTCCCTTCAACCCGCCCACTGTCCCCTGACTTCAGGACCTCACTTGGGAGTGTTCTGTGAGCTTGGCCTTGTGTAGGAGCTGGGGGTAGTGTGGACACTGGGTTTAGCATCCAGCTCAGGGAGAGGGTTGGAGTCAGGAGCCTGGGGTAGAATCCTACTTCTCCCCAAACCTCACCAAAGTATTAACCTAGAGTGGCCCCTTCCCAGGGCCTTTCCTGTGCCAACCTGATAGCCCCTTCCTCAGGAAGGTGGGTGCTCAAGGCCTGGGCCGTGTGCCTCGTAATGGAAAATGTCCTGTGATGACAGGCAGTCACCCTTCCAGGAAACGAGCAACAAATCACACCTCCGGTCTGCCCCTGGGCTCAGGGTACTCCAGCCCCTCTCAACAGCCCTCCCTTCCCAGTGTTTCAACTTTGTGCCTTTGACCATCTCCTAGTTCTGAAGATATTTTATGCAAAGAGTTCTTGGGCCCCTGAGGCCAAGGATAGGGGTGCTGATCCCCTGGCTTCTGGGACCCTGTCCTCTCCTTGCTCAGCATCCCTCCAGTTTAGGTTGGGAGAACAGAAGCAGGAGTGGCAGCTGTTCCCTCTCCCTGGGCATATGCCACCTTTACCGATTGCCTCAGAGCTCCCCTCCCCGCCAGGGGGGAGACGGACCCCTTCTTTGCTCAGTGCCTCCTGGCCGGGGCCTTTGTCCCCAGGGGTTTGTATATACATAT